TGATTTAAGATCTTAATGATTTGTGGTAATTCGATAGTGATGGTCTATAAAATTCATGATTCTAATTGGCGGTAGCTGACAGGCTGAAGAAAGCAATGGCATGTCCAGTACCACAGGAAAATAGATTGTAGCTAACCAAAGGAGTATAATCTTTTAGTTTTTCTGTGCTTTTACTTAGTTAGTTTACTGATTTTGCTGAATATTTCCTTGTTTTAACTGACTGATGTTTTTCCCAACAAATCCAATTTCTCATTTTCTTTCTCCCTCGGTATTATATTTTTTTACTAAGTCTAAGTCTCTTTTGTTATGTTTTGTGCTATGAATGTTTTCTCTTGGAAGCCACTGTCTAAATGGATGGATGAAGAACTCACAGGTGACTAGAGTGTCACTGACAGCATTGGGCAGTTGCAGTTTTCCTTACAGTTGTGATGTTCTTGAAAATTTTTGTATGGAATCAGAACACTCTTTCTGTTCTCAAAGATGTTAAAGGGAAAAGTAGTGTCTTCTGGGCAAACAAGAGAAGTGTATTAACATACTCAAAGGACTAAGTTTGTTCTTCTTTTTCTTGTTTCCAAATGTTTCCAAATGTTTGTCTTTTCACAATTTGTCAGAGTTCTGATCCTTTTTCTCTCTGATTAATAATATCATATATATGTCTTTTTTTCTGAAGAGACTTGACAATGACAATTCTTATTCTGTGTATGAAAGAAGATGAAATATAGCTTCATTTAATATGACTTACGAAAACGAGTGTACTTTAAAGACAAATTCAGAAGCAATTTGAATAAGTATTTAAACTATAGACAGAGTAATGCTTAGCTATTACAGTGCTATTCTATAAAAGTTAGTAATAAATATGTTTTATAAGCAACCTTGTTTGTGATAAACTGGGTGAAAGCCTTTTTGAGTGGTCTGAATGTAAAGGGTTTTACAGTTCCCAAAGTGTCTTGCCTCATCCTTTGTTAGGAGTTAAAAAAGAAAGAAGGGGAAACTGAACATTTTGTTGCTATGTGAGTCTTTTAGAAACAGCAGGAGCTGCCTTGAGGGACAAAGCAGTAAGTGTTTTACTCTACCTGAAGATATCGCCAAAGGTTCTCAGCACTTCTTCAAGTGCCAATCAACAGAAGAGGAGGGATGCCACCTGGTGACAGTGAAGGTTTAGGTATGAGAGCTATGTGGATAGCAGTGAGCTCTTGCAGAAGTATTTGGTCACTTGCCAGTGACATCTACGGCCTGCTTAATCTGTACACATCCATCAAATTGGTGCTTTCTGACTTACTCATAGTTAGTTGCCCTCTTTTCTCCTTACTTGCTCCTAAACCCAGACTGGCTCAGCACGGTGCCACCCATCTCAAGTGAATGAATACCAGCAGGGTTAATTATGTAATTAAGAGAGGAATGTGCCTCATTTCATTTGGGGCATATGAATCTAAATACAGAACTTGTTTATGCACAGAATTAGTTCTGGAGCCTGGGATACAGCTTAAATCATGTTAAAAATGGATATATGAGTGGGGGAAAAAAAAGCTTGTTATCTAGGAGGAAAATAGTGGATTTTGTAATATTTGAATTGTTGTCAGTGGTAAACTAGACTAAATGTGAGTTTAGATTTTGAACACCTCCCCCCACCCATGCTTTAATCCATTTTGTATTCTCTTTGGCATGTAGTTTCAAGAATTAATATGAACGCTTTCTTTCATGCAACAAATCCCTACAGAAAGAAATGAGTGACTGAATTTCTATAAATGTCTTGAAAGTGTCTTGTGTAAACTTTGTATTGATATTGGTTCCTCAAGATGAAACCAACTTAACTGAATGAGAGATTTTCTCTGAAAAAGGACACGTGCATTCTGCTAATAAATACCTTTCCGTGTATAGCAAATACTAAATACATTTAGGTATTTAGACTGCTTTATGTAATATTTCCAAATCAATATTATTGTCAAATAAGTTAAAGTAGGAAATAGTGCCTGAATAAAGATTATTTTTTAAAACAAGTCTTTGGACAAATGCCTCTTGCACTGCACTGACAACGTGCTGTGGGTGCAGCCAAGTGGCACATTGCTCCAATATTTCCTGAGTATCAAGTTGGCTTTTACTCTGCTGCATTGTAAAGTTAAGATGCAAAATACATGGAAAAACTTGTTTCTTGAGTCTGTGTCAGAGCATTTTTTTTCATGCATTAGTGTGGCACATTTTCATTTACTTGGACAGTGTCATTTCTTTTGTGCTGCTTATCTTTGTAATCCTTACACATTCTGTGCTTTCATGGATGACTTCAAGTCACCCTTTATATTACTGTTATGTTCTTTCAGCACTCACTTTGCGGATCTTCACTAGGTTCTCTGTTTTAAAACTTTTGTACTCTTTTAGGTAGTGAACAAATGAAAAAAAGAAAAGTGAAATCTAATACAACAGTGTAGCCTTGTAAAAAGTGAATGAAATAGTATGCAAAAAAAAAAGTATAATAAAACATTCAGGATATATCTCAAACCTAAGATCAAGTGAGTGTTTTCTGTTTAGCCTATATTTTCCTGTTAATCTTTCCAGCACAATGGAGTATTTCACTAGAACAGAAGGATTTAGGTGGAATTAAAGTTTTTCTATTTAAACTGAAAGTCTTATCCTTAAATATATAAACTAATCTTTTAAACCGATTTAATTACTTAAAGAAGTTAAGTAGAAAGACAATAATATATTTTAAACATTCTAAACACAGAGAGTTTCCTTGTATACCAATGAAAGTTAGTTTACTTAAAGATGGATCCAGCTTCTGAAACAGGAAAAAAAACTCCTGGTGAAAAGGATTTTGGAAACGTCCTTGTGCAGCATATCCATACAACATATGAAAATGGCTTTTTTTTTTTTTTTAATAAATGATTTCCAGTGATTAAAACTTTTAAGCTGCATTAAGCAAAGCTATGTATCCAAATAAAAATGATGCATTATTGATCAAATGACTTACATACTGCTAGAGTATTCTTCTATATGTAATGTTGATTTAAAAATAAAAAATGTTGAGACATGCACAGGCATTTGATAGGAGAAGCAGGGTATGGCAGAATTTAGAGAAGATTTTTTAGGCAAATATTGAACTTAGTATTGAACTATTTGTGTGTCTTGTTGACTTCCTAGCACTGCCAGGAATATCATATAATCACAGAATCGTTAGAGTTGGAAGGGATCTTTAACGATCATCTAATGCAGCTCCCCTGCAATGAACAGCAACACTTGCAGCTAGATCGGGTTGCTCAGAGTCCTGTCCACTTGACCTTGAATGTCTCCAAGGATGGAGCATTCACTGCCTCTCTGGTCAACTTAGTGCCTCACCATCATTATTGTAAAAATATTTTCCTTATATATGCAGTCTAAATCTGTCCTCTTTTAGTTTGATACTATTTCCCCTCATCCTGTCACAACAGACCATGCTGAAGAGTCTATCCCCTTCTTTCTTACAGCCCTTCCTTGGATACTGAAAGGCCATTATTGATCTCCCTGGAGCCTTCTCCAGGCTGAACGTCCCCAGCTCTCTCTGCCTGAATATCAAGACTTAACTTTAAAAAATGTTGAATTGGAGATGATGAGGAAGAAAAATGTATTATTTTTTTTCACTGTTCCACTTATGCTTACAAAAAAGTGAGTTGAGCTCTGTTTCTTTCAGGGGAATTCATCATGACATGAATACTCATTCTTACTGTGCCCCAGTAGGTAGGAAGGAGGGTGAACTGCTTAAATTTGGGGTGTTTTAATTGAGAAGTTTTAACTTTTTATTGAGCTGTATTTCTTGTAGTGCTATCTCTTGATCAAGGGAGAGACAGAAATGAAGAGAAAGTGCTTAGTAGCCTCCGGGGCCCAGTTAGGCTGACTTGCCTAACTGAATACATGATTTTATCTCAACTCAGTGGCCGTTACTCCTTCTGTGGACTGGAGGAAGGACTTGAAATCTACAGGGAATTCTTGAGAACGTATTGTGTGTTGACTACAAGAAAATCAATTTTAACAAAGTTGTCAGCCCTCTAGAGTTACTACTTGTTTCTTCTACTGCTGTGGAACAGTCAACAGCACTTGCAGAACAGTACATGTCATGATGCCTCTCCGGCAAGCAGGAGCTGTAGTTTTGTCTGTATGATGAACTGGAGAATTTGAGCAGGATTAATATTCTTTTCACAGTGGTTTCTTGTTTGTTATCTGAGAAATGGACAGTGGTTCAATTCTACCTTCACACATCTTTTAGAGAGTCTCCCTGAAGTTCGTGCAGTGGCTTTCAAAGTAAAGCTGCTAGTCAGCATAAGATTATGAAGGACACCATTAGGGACAAATCAAATAAGCAAAGAACTGGATTATTTGGACTTTGTCTCATGAGTAACACTCCAGAAGGTGTTTGTGGTGTTTCAGTATTGATTAGCTGATCAAGAGTGCTTGCTACGAGGAAAGGAAAGTTCATTTTCCAAATACACATAATAAATTCTCTCCTCTATGCCTTCCAGTTTTGTCTTTGGGAAAAATTAATGTAGTCAAAAAGCGTGTTCTGGTGTATGGCAAACCTCTCAGACCCTACAAAGGACTGTGAGATTGTACTGTGATAGGTGTAAGATTTTTATAGCTGCATATTATTCAAATAAATAAGCAAGTGGTAGTAGATACTTCTGGCCTACTCTAGAAACTGTGGGTTTTTTTTGTTCTTGTTATTAGAATGTTACTTTCCTCACCCCTCTTCTACCCTGTTAAGGTAATCGTCCTTTCTGAGTTTGCAGAAAGGACTCAAGTGCTGCCCTTGAGGTGTGTTCTTAGAGAAGACTAGAAGAAGGGCCACTTGCAGACTACAATCCATCTTGCCAATACAATTTCAAGACATCTAATCTGTGTGATATATAACTTTCTGCAGAAGAAGAATTGAAAAAAAGTCAGTTTTGAATTGCGTCTCCTAAAAGTATTAATCTTTAAGAATGAGGCTGTGTATGCTTTGAATTTTGATGTGCCTCTTCTTTCTCTCTTTCTAGCTGGAATGCTTGCAGCTTTATCTACAGGATTATAAGCTTTGATGTTCAGAAGAGCAAAACTAAAAGATGCCATCTGAGAGGTGCCTGAGGTATAGTATTTGATAGCACATAGTAAGTCATTCCAATTTAGTGTGATGTTTACTAAAGCATAAATTAGCAGTGAAATATGAAATTAATATTTTTTTTGCTCATTATTCACATTATGATCTGCAAGAGATTGCTTTCTTGCTGCTACTCATGTCTAGCAAAGGGAAACATGCTAGAATTTGATTGGGTCTCACAGTTCTCTTCATCTATTATCTTGTTTATGGTCTTGTTTATACTTGAAATTTTTGATTGTGAAAGCAACTACTGTTTTACGTGTATGTACATGAAATGGTACCCGGTGATCATTTTTTATGTTTGTCATGTTCCAGTATTCAGGACAAATGTTGATCTTTCAGTTGTTTCAAATTCTTTCAGCCTTCCAGAATTTCTCATTTTGCCTTTCTCTTTCTTCCAGAGTCTTAGTCATCCATATTTGCTTGCTAGTCCAGACTTTCTCATTTATTTGTATTGCCCATTGTCTCATCAGAGACTTTGATATTTATGATTTAATTAGTTTCTGAGAGCACTGTCAGGGAAAAAAATACAACATTTCATCAGAATTTATTTATCCAGTTGCTTTTTCTTTGGAACTTTGCTCTATTCTAATATGCTGGTAGTTTCACCACTGTTCTATTTCGGAGAGTAGTTAATGCTCACAGGCTGATCTGGGATCTCAGTGGTCTGATATTACTAGGGTATTGTATCATTCCTCTTCTGAACAAAAATAGAGAGAAACCATCTCTAGGTATAATAAGGTTATAATGCTAGCACAGTTAATCTTCCAATGTTATTATATTCTCTGTTCTCCTAGGAAGAAAAAAAGGTTTTTGCAGTTAATACAGAAGAGGGAAACCAGGTTAAGAAGACCATATTCTGCAGTTCTTCAGGACTCAGTAGCAAAACTAACAGTTAATCTTTCATTACAGATTCTTTATTGTTGTTGAAGACTGCAGAAAGAATATAGTTTTATTCATTTATTCTTCATTTTTTCAATTCAGAAGTTGAGCTGGTAGCATTACCTCCATAAAACAGTAGTTTGATGCAGTTATTTTACTGTAGAAATAACAGAAGAGAAATAATGGTTAGAAATAATTTCCTTTTTTTAACAAGTTACGTTTCTTGCTAATTATCCTTTAGCATTTCAGTGATATTCCTGAAACAAAATAATTAAGGACAAAGTTTCATTTGAATGAATTGTTCTGAAATGTAGAGTTCCATGTGTGAAACCTAAAATATCTGTGTACGATATTCGTATACAGGTTGTTCTGCTGTGTGTATAATGCGTAACTCCATTTCAGCTATCCTTTCTAATGCCTTAGCTTTTGTTTTTTTTTTTTTTTTAAAAGATTAGATTAGAGCAAAGAGTGTACAAGGCAGGTCTGCATTAGTTTGTAAAAGCTAAAGGTGCAGGAGTGGGATGTATGATAGTATAGTAAGTAAGTGTTGATGGGAAAGAATTTAGCAGCCACGCAGCTGCTGACATAGCTTGTGAGTGTAGCGAACTGCATGACTTTAGTGGAAAGATGCTAGTTTATTTATCCTGTCATTAAATATTGAGTTATTCAGGATTGGCTCTCTGTAAGATCATTTCCTCTAAGGTACTAACTTCTCAGGCAATATAAATTTGTATAGTCTCTCAGATTTCAGATGAACTGCATTGTTTTGTCCCAAAGAGGCTCTGCAGATTTGTTTGTTTGTTTGTTTCTGTCTTTGTTTAGGACTGTATTTGCATAGAAAAATACATTTGCAGTTATACCGTCTCTTCCTTTTGTGCTAGAAAGGGAAGCTGAAACCAGATAGTCCTAGGTTGGGTGACACAGAAATCTTGCATTTGTACAGTCTGATATTCAAAGGTGGTGGAAGGCTTCATTATTAAAACAAATAAAAGAACAACAACAACAAAAATGCTGCTTTAAAAGTGTAAATGACCCAAAATAATCTGAAAGCTTTGAGTAATCTAATAGACTTAAACAGGCCACTTGAGATCAAGACTCTTCATTCTTTTGAGTAGGGCTGGTTAATTCAGGCACACTCCACAAATTGTCAATTTGGATTTTCTGTCATTTCATTCACATAGGGCTTTATTCCTCTCATATAACTCTTAAATGGTTTTGAGTTAATTCTGAGTGCAGTTGACATCAAGCGCAGCAAATCAGAATGGCTGAGATTTTTATTTGAGTATGTAATATGGTTTTATAATACTGCTAAGCTGTGATTTTCTTGAAATGGATGTGCCATGTAAAGATTTTACCTAGATTTAGATTTCATAATTTTATTTCAAAAAATATCAAACATTCTTAGAAAACATTGTTACATATTGCTTATAGAATTGTTACATATTGCTTTCCTGCATTTATTTACAAAATATTTCCTCCTTTCTCTCTCAGTGTTCAAGAAATGTTGACAGGTCAGAGGCTTTGTCAGTCGAGCTCCCATAATGATGCTGTTCTGGCAGCACTGAATCAACAAAGAAGCGACGGCATACTTTGCGATATCACCCTTATTGCTGAAGAGCAGAAATTCCAAGCACATAAGGCAGTCTTGGCAGCCTGTAGTGACTACTTTCGAGTAAGTCTAAAGATTATTTTTTTATTTCTTATAGTAATATTAAAAATTACCCTGAATGTTGGAGGGAGAATGGTTATCTGTATCATGCTGAACAAAATAAAATTGAATCTTTATAAAATTCATGATAATTTCATCGAGTATTACAACTTTATTACATACGGACATACACATGGTAGGAAAGAAAAACAAATAGAAACTTTCAAACTTTCAGAATCAGCTATAAATATGGAACTCAGCCAAATAATTTTGGTTATTAATGGACAAAAAGCTTTGTTAAAAAGTAGGCAATTAGATTTATGCTTTGTAAGAATATGGCAAAAAGTAGCAACATACTATATTCCTGATTCTAATCATTTAGAAAAGAGCAAGGGTTGATTAAGTGTTGTGAATTTAAACTGGAATTGTAAATGTTTTTGTAGCTGGGGAGATGTTGCTTAACTTGTACTATTCAGGTTTTGATTTTCTAAGAATCAGGAGAATTATGCCAATTTTTATTCAAAATCAGTGAAGAGAGATTGTCATCTCCAGAGGTTGGTGAAGGAGGATAAAAGATTTATATAGAATTAGTTGAGTCACCATTTGGAAGTGCCAGATTTATATCCACTGATCATAAAGAATAGATTTAACTGCTTCAATTTTAGCTGTTAAAATTACATAAAGAGGAGTTCTACCTTTGGTGTTTCCTGGATTTTCTTGGAGGAATGTTGGAAGAACCTTGCAGATTTTCTAACCATGCTGAAGTCATTTCTGTGAAGAACTGACATTTCACTAATTTTTATGAGATTTTTTTCATGTAAATACAGGACCGTAGAGGATAGGATTCTGAGAACATTTGATGTTGGAGTTGCCTTGAATAAAATTTAGATGACAACATTATACATCAATGTGACACAACAAGCCTGCCTTCTGTAGCTTCAGAATTCATACTTTTGATGAATATACTAACCTACCTTCAGCTCTATCTGGAGGGGTTGTTATCCAGTTCTTATTTTTATATAGATTACCCCAGGTGTGTGCTCAGGTCTTCAAAAGGCTCTGTCAACACAAGTATTTGTTTTTGTTTTTCTTTTTCACCACTTTCATAAAGTACAAGTGGCTGAATATTAGCTTCATAGAGATCCTGGTTATGGTTTTCTACCCATTCTGCATCTATTTTGATTTAAATTAAACCACTGTTGAGATTGTCCTTTCTTATTCTGAGAATAAGAAGTCAGATAAGCAGTATTTTTTTTCCCCAAATTGTGACTTATTCACTTGTTTTAGTGCAATGAAAATTTGTTAACACTTGAAGGATGACTGTATGTCCTGTTAGAAACTGATGAGGGAGTAAGAACTACTGTATGTAGAAGAGTGGTGAATGTCGGAGATTGTCTTACTATCATTTTTTTCTTTGGCACAGATAAATTCTTCATTTGTTTTTTTAAGACAAAACAGGGACCTGACCTTCAACAAACAGTGGATTTGACCATAATATTTTTTGGATAGTAGCCTGCCATCCTGTCTTCTAGTTGGTATAATTGATCTTGTAGTTTTGGCTGTGCTGAAATATCAGAATTGAAAATAGAATAGTTCAGTCAGAAAGGACTTGCAATGTCTGAGTCCAGCAGGCTATCCTAAACATTGAAGTGAGACAAGAAGTTTGAGTTAGTGAGTTAGTGAGTATATGTGCATTTTGATAGCTCTAGAAGGATAAGTAATTTCCAAATAATTTTTTTCTTCTTTTTTCCCTTTTTTCCCCTCTGGGAGCAAAATGAAATGTTGCTGCCTGACTTCATTTGCAGGCATTTTCAGTGCTGGCAGGTGATTATGTAAGCTCAAGCTTTTCTCATAGAAAATACATTGGTTTTTTAGGTCAAAATAACTCTTTTCTCCTTCCTTATTTTTCACTTGGGGATGTTTATAGTTATAGGACTTGATTTTTTTTTGTCTCAGAAAAATGTATTTTTTTATGTTGTCTGAATGAACAATTATATCAATTAACTAGAATAGACTCAGAAATCTAATAATTCTATTAATATTTCTAATCTATTATAAAATGTCAGTAGTATCCTGTGCTATTTCTTTTTCCACAGTAAGCTTTTCAATTCTTAAGAGAATCCTTTGAAGTTAACCAAATGGATACTAATTTTGTTTACTGTCTTTATTGTCTTTGTATTTATAGCTGTCACAGTTGATTGTTAAACAGTTTGTTTTTTCTGTGCTGTCTTTCATCTCTCTAAACAGAATATATATTCCTGTGTACGTATCAGTGTTGATTGCTCTTATTTTTATAAACAAATTCTGATTGAATGGAGAAAATTGTTTCTGAGGTCTTGTTATATGAGTCAGGAAGAGGAAAAGGCTCTGCCTCGCTTAGGAATAGATTTAAGGACCTGTAGTACTGACAACCTGCTATTGTAACCTGGAAGTGATGCTGATATAGAAATCCTTTTTCCAGGTAATCTTTAAAAACGTTAGCTCTTCTCATTGGATCAAATAAATTGTTTGGTTCAGGAAGCATCTGTTCAGTACTGAGTACTTGAGACTTTTGTTCGAAAAGAGGCCATTCTAAAAGAGGCCACACTATTAGCTTTCTGAGTAAGTTGAGAAGTATAACTATAACCTGAACCCAAGCATCTTAATGAAATGCAATATTCTAAGTTAGCCTAATTCTATATTAAAAAAATTGAATAGGGAAGGAAATGCAATTCTAGAACACCCTTATTCATCCTTATCTTTGCAGTTAGTGCTTCTTTGTTCTGTGGGGCTCTGAAGTGGTTTTCCATTGATGCAGACAGAATTCCCACAGCACAGCAGTGTGGGTACTATCACAAGCATTTACAATAGTCTTTTGTGAATTCTGTTTTCAAATTCCCTACAGTTATTATTATTGTCAGAGTAAGTATGTTTCTGTTGTAATTCTTATAGTACAAAAATGAATTAATTGCAATTCTGCCACCGATGGATGGAAGGCAACATGGTGTCTTGTTCTCTGAGTCATCTTCCTAATTTTTTTTTTTTTTTTTATTTTTATTTTTTTAATTCCCTATATAATAAGTGTGGCAGAATTAACCTCACAGTTAGTGAGGTAGGCCATAAGAGACTGTAACTCACTGTCTCTCATTAAATTAATATTATAACAGCATCTGGTGATTGGTAACAGTGCAGTTGATGAGCTTCCTCTATTTAAAAGAAGGACAGAAGTCTTCTCCTTTGCTTCCCTGTGCTCTCTGTTCAATTTTACAGTGCTTCTATGGCAAACATCCTGAAGCTCGGCCCCACCGCCTCTTGTGTGTTGCTGTAAGTGTCTGACAATGGAAAGCCAAATTATTGGAGCAGGGCTGTGGTATGGAAGTGTTTCATACCTATTTTATTCTGAATCCCTATATTCTGGTGAGGAAATCTTCTATCTTAGAGTGTTGTTGGATGCAATAGACAGTTCCTATTTTTTTTCAGTCTCCATTAGTATCTTCCTACACAACCTCAGGAGAAATTAAAGCTATTATTCTGTGGGTGTAGCAAAGCTGAAAACACCTTGTGTTCAAACCACCTGAGAGAATTATTTGGGCAGTGTATCACTCTTAGCTTCAGTGAATAAGACTGACATACCACGAGAAATATCCAAAGAAAGAGACAAGACTGCTGAAGAGCTAAAAACATGATCTACATCTTATAAAGTGCACATGGGGTGGAAATTTCTTGCATTCATCTTCATTTGTACTAGAAGTCCATCACACTGCTGACATGATTTTGCTTTCTGTGTTGCACATTATTCTTGTTAGAAGTTTTAGAGGAAATTATCTTTCTTTAAAAAATAAAAATAATAAAAATCGATTGCTTCACTGTTATTAGTACTTTTTTTTGCACCACGTTAGCTTCATTTTAGTAGCCTGAAATACAGTGTCAGCTAGTTGAATTCATGTCACTGTAGGCCTTCATTTAATAAAAGTCCGGATTTAAGCAGTGGAACCTCTACGTTTGACTGTCCTGAACAAAAATGCTACTGCTTGTTTATCTGTGTCAGGAGTTAATCTGCCTAAGACAACCCATATTCAAACTTAGACCTCTGAAACCTCACTAAGTCTCAATGTACTCTTGCTGGATGACCTAATGTACAAGTGACCATTGAATTCAGTGGTCTTTTTTTGTAGCTAATGGCTTGAAAGAAGGAGACATCATGAACAGCAATGGATGAGAAAATAAAAATGGCCCTGCTGTGTCAGACTGTTGGCTATTTTAGTAGTAGCTATCATGATACTTATAGAAAAAGAGTGAAAGCAGGCTGAACTTCATGCATCCCTGAGAACTCTTCAGTTGTGTTTAACTAAGGAATTTCTAATGGAGAGTGTGATTTCTGTCTATTCAGCAACCCTGAATACTGGTCTCATCTAGGATTTTATGCTGTTTCCCATTGATTCTACGTAAGATAGTCATCCACTGCATGTTCTGACAAGTGATCCATGGCATTAGTGTGAAGAAATACTTTTGGTTTGTTTTGAATCAGACTTCTATAAGTGTTATTGTATTTTTCTTCTTTTGGATAAGATAACAAACCATCATTTCCTAGGTGTTCTTTTCACCGCACTAAGTAGTCTCTTTTCTAAGTTGGTTTGTGATCTCAGTCTAATAAACTATTTACAATCCCAGATGTCTGGGACATTTTCAGCTATGGTTGAAATAAAAACTTGGTCTTCCAAGGTTAATAGTGTATTACCTGTGAAAGCAGGTTACAAATGTATGTAATAATCACTTGAAGTCAGTGTTGCTTGATATTAGGACACATCTATGTTTTTAGAATCTCTCAAACATGATATTTAAGTATCTACCTTTCCAGATTTTGATTTCTATTCAAAAAAGGTAGTTATCAAGCCTATAAAATTAATGGGGATAATTAAATTGACATAACTGTTGTCTGTTATTTTTGGTGTGGGATTTTTTTTGTCAGAAATTAAAGAAAAACCCAGGGTAAATGAGAACAGACAAATTTAGACTTCTAAAAATAAAATGAAAAGATGATTTTT